TGAAGGATATTATTTCCACTATTACTAGTAGCCATCAGGTTGCAATTACAAACATTAATCAAATACTTTAATCATCAATAGCATGATCTGCAAATGCATAAAGAAGACTACTTTGCCCTGTTTTATCTTTTTCATGTGGATCAAAGTGATAATCAGCAACGAGATCTTTTGTAACATCTAACCAGCCATTTTTTGAAGAGAGGTGAAGTAACGTAACACCGTTTGAGCCGTGATAACTTTTTATTCCAGCGGTAGGTTCAGTTACAAAATAAGGCAGCAAACGAATGGCTTCCATGAGATCATTGTTTTCAAATGCCTTCCAACACTCTATGTTCCAGCAATCCAACTCTACCGACTGCTCCCCTGCGGATTGCTCGGAGTTACCGGTGCAGTCTATGCTGCAGTCTTCCGTGGATTCATCTAAGTCTGCAGACTGCTCAAAAGATTCAACTCGTTCACTAATAGGAAAAGAGTCAAAAGCAGGTCCCTCTAACTCCTTTGCCATGCTGGGAAACCCAGCAATGGGTCAGAGACCTCAGCACTAAATGTGACTTTTATAGCAAGAGTCAAGTGAAACCATTCTCTCAATGTCTCCCACCACCACGCCCATAATGCAGCCACACCTACCTAGAATTCCAAATGACGCAGCCACACCGTTATAAGTCAGGCTAGTCAGCAACCGAGTCAGCAACTGCATATGGCTGGTAGCTCTCCTCCTAAGAAGCTCCTCATAGAGGCATGCACTGAAAGACTCAGAAAATGGCTGTCGGAGAGATGGAGGAACTCCTATAATATTGTAAGACTCATTTTAAAAGAGTGAAAAATTACTTTTTATTTGTCATGTGTCTTATTTTTATAGAGGAGCATTGAGATCGAGGAAAGCTTTATATTTTCACCATATTTGTTTTCTGAGAATGATTTGTCTGTATTTGGTTTCAGACAGGACCCAGAGCAGAATCAAGAGTACAATAAAGGAGTTTTTGATGGCATTGGAGTGTATTACTGGGGACAAATGAAATACAAAACCAAGCTGCGCAGTACAAATTTAAAGAAGGTAGACTATCATGACCATATCTAATAGACCCCCTAGGCGCTAAGACTATTTTGAATGAATTATTTACGGTAGCCACGCACGAATAAAATTACTGACGGCAAGAAGCTCTCCACATCAAAGACAGATCAAAGCCCAAGGTGCCGAATTGAAGCATAGCAAGAAAAATATGTTGCAGCAAGAGTTACCTGGACTATATGATGTAGTCTGGCCTCCATACTTTCCATAAATGCTGCTTGTAAGCCTGTAGTACGTTGTAGCACTCATAAAATGGCCAGGCGGTGTCACCGCCTTTGATTTTCTTTTGATCTCGAGGCCTTCTTGCCGTCAGTTATTTACATCGTGAGTGGATACTGTATAGGAAAATTTTATTTATTATGAATGAATATCATTATTGTAATCATTATTCATTGACAATAATCTTAGCTCCTAGGGGGTCTATACTACTACTTGGCTGAAAACTTTGGAGGCTCAAAAATTAATTTTGTGGACATGTATATGCATGTAAATTTTTGGAAATCAAAGCTTTTTACCATATTTTTTACATTTTTTGCAAGTTTTATTTTTTTTAAATCGCAAGTAAATTCCAAAATTAGCAGTATGTGCATGCATGAAATTTTTATTTATGTGTCACTGCTTCAAGTTTTAAATTACTGGATTTTATGAGACTGATGCAAAGCCAGAAAGACAGTCGGATATTGGACATTTTCCGACCATTTTGCTCAATTGTCCGACCAAATCCTGTGTTTTTTCTTCCATTTTGTCTGAATAACTTTTTATTTAATTTTAAAAAGCTATTTAACATAATTAGCAATTAATCATGTTCCCATTAAGTTTGCTAAGTGAGCTAAACAGTATGTCTCATGACCAGAATACAGTACATGGTATTTTAGCAACTTTAAAAATTATTATTAAAAGTCCAAATTTAACAGAATTCAGCTCAAAGTTGATACACAGCATAATGACATGTATTTGTATCAGAAAAAAATTAAAATGGAGGATTTTCTTTTAGCCATTTTGACAGAATTTAACAAAGACTTGATTTTTGATCAACTTTTAAAATTCATTAAAAATACAAGCTTGATCAGAATCAGCTCAAACTTGATACACAATGTAAGAACATGTATGTGTATCTGAAAAATTATAGAAATAGAGAATTCTTGTCTTTGATTTCTGCTGAAATACCCTGTTTTTTTCTCAATTTTTGAAGCAATTAAAAATCCACTGGCAAGAAGCTGCATGAGCACTATGCCTCAAATCTGTTGGAAAACCTGTCTGACTGTTTCATAAAAATGGCAAATTAAATTAAGCAATGATCAGAAACAATATCTGAACACTGTTTGAATGAAATTTCAGGCTTTGTGATAGGTTGTCCTGCATTACATATAACCATTTCATTATGTAGGTATTTCGGTATGTGGAAAGAGCTCCTTTACTATGCATCCTTGATGAGATCATTGAACCTCTTGATTATTTTCTGCTGAAGCAGCAAAAATCTTCTCCAGACTCCGACTCAGATTCAGACACTGATGATGATGATGATGATAATGAACTCAAGTTGTGAGTACAGTCCAGCAGTCACCAGAAGCTTTATTCCTTGAGGCTCTCGAGTTTTATTGTCTTTTGAAAATGCGACTGGGGTTGTTGGAGACAAAATGGAGGGAGACCATTGAAAAGCTATTACCTACTAACAGCTGCAAAGGTTAAATCAATTTTAGTGTTCACAAATCACAAGTGTAATAATTTATTATTGAGCTTGTTTAATCCTATTGTTGCAATTTTCTAATCTGTTGATTTGTCCATTGTATTTAGTTTTATTCTTTTTGTCCCTCTCTCTCAAATCCTTTTCTTCCTTAGGTTTTGTTGAGGCATTTCAATCAGAGATATTAAGAACACTTCGTGGACTTGTTCAAGTATTCAAGAAAATAATGAGCGAATGCTACAATGGTGAAACCAAACCACGCTACTTGCAGCTATGTGAGAGACTGAAACAAAGTACTAATGTAAGAAATTAGCAACTCCTGCCTTGGTATGTAGTACATGCATAGTACCTACATGTACATATGCATGCATGTAGCATTGTGTAGGTCTCTGAACACTATATGCTACTAGCTATGCATTGCATTTCACTAGTTAGTACACAAAATTGAATTTGAATTGTAATTTGTGGCTGTTGTATGGTACGGTAAACTCATTGAGTTATTACTAATTATTGTGAACAAAGGACCATAATTTTTTAATCGTACATGTACATGGAAAATGTATATTCCAATCACTAAAACCACTGGTTATGATTTTAAAAAAATTATTATTCACTAGTATCAAATTAATAGAATGCCATGAAAATGTAGAGCTGTATGAAAATTTTTTCATGATTATTTTTACTTTATAGGAGGAGGAGGCAATGCATCTAATTTTCATGTACAATGCTGGGGTTAGATTTGTGAAGGTCAGAAAATCTACTTTGGTTATATGTACTTTGTTTTACATAATTGTTTCTTGTAGACCCAATCGGTGCATTGTAGCAGTCATGGTAGTATGGCAATGGAAGTGGCATGGTTTGCAGACATGACTGGATCAGAAATGTGTAAGGAGAGAGTGAATGTGTGTCAAAGTTCACGGGTTTCTTGTATACATGTACATGTACATGTATGTCAAGAAGCTGCATGAGCACTATTCCGAAATCCTGTGGGAAACCCTGTGCATACTGTACATGTACATGACTAAATGTACATGTATATGTACATGCATTTAAGAATGCATAATCAATTACT